AACCCCTGCTTTATACCACGCCATCCCCAGAATTTGTTTATTTCAAAACTGTACCCCCAAAATTATTAAAGAGGAACTTTAGTTCACACGTCCTAGATTGAAATTGGAGGAAAAGAGACAGGCTCCTATATTGCTCAGGCCTGAATTCCTGGGTTACTGTCTCCTGTTGTCGAGAGGCTGGGCCAGTACTTGACCGGATTCCTGGGCTGGTCTCCCCAAGAGCTTTCCTTGACCCTACTGCTGCTGAAGATGAGCTGCGGAGCAGGACTCCTGTTGGGTTTCTTCCAGCCCTCCCTCTTTCTTACAAAGGACGGTTTAAAGCATCTACCCTGATCTCATTCTTGGGCCCATTTTTAGCTGTTAGAATAAAGAAAATTAGGGGTTCTAGGGCTGGGTAAGTTTCCTTCCTGCTCACCAAATTGCAAGGGTACTTGTAGCTCTTGTATAGGAATGTCTTGGCTATATTTAAGCACAGGAAAACCTCTCAGGGAGGCTCAGGTTAGCTCCTTTTATACAGAGACAATGACCGAAAGGCTTCACTTGGAATAACAAATGAGATTATCCCACCGAGGCACTTTTGCTGAGCCCATATCTGAGAAGCAAGGAATATTGCCCTTCTAGTCCAAATTATGGATTTTGTACTGGAGATCCTTACAATTTCCTCTGTCAGTCATTTCTTTCCCAGCCCCTCCCGCCTTTCTCTCCAAAGAGTCTGCTCCCCCAGCCCTTGCTGAGTGGGCACGTGACCTGTCTCCCAGACCACAGATATTTGCATCAGGAGTGGTCCCTACTCCAACAAAGCCAATCAGAGTCTCTCTCCTGGGGAATGGAATCAGGGCTTCTGAGATGCTATTGAGTATTTGTATGATTTTCCAGAAAGAACTGAAGCCAAGTCAGCAGTGGGGATGTTATGTTAGCTTCTTGTGCTAAGAAGCAGAAAGAATTGGCGAGGGAGGAGAGAGAGAGGAGAGAGGAGAGAAGAGAGAAGAATGATAACCTCATGCGGAGAAGCAGAGACAAGAAGCCTACTGATTTAAGAGAGCCTAGGAAAGACTGGGCAGTGTTTCTGTTGTCCATAGGGTCGCTGTAAGTTGGAACTGACCCGACTGCACCGAACAACAACAAGAGAGAAACCTTGACCCTGTGTTCTCAGTTACTATTTCCAGTCTTTTGTAAGCAATAATTATATTCTCTGAACATTCATTTCATTTTTTGCCCCCGTATCTTATTGATGGAAACCCTGGTGGCGTAGTGGTTAATAGCTACAGCTGGTAACCAAAAGGTCAGCAGTTCAAATCCACCAGGTGCTCCTTGGAAACCTTGTGGGGCGGTTCTTCTCTGTCCTATAGGGTTGCTATGAGTCGAAATCAACTCGAGAGCAGAAGGTTTGGGTTTTTTGTTTGTTTGTTTGTTTATCTTACTGATAGAAGTCCTTGGGTGGCACAAATGGTTAAGTGATAGACTACTAACAGAAAAGTTGATGGTTAGAATCCACCCAGAGGCACCTTGGAAGGCAGGCCTGGCAATCTGCTTGTGAAAGATCACAGCCTTGAAAACCCTATGGAGCAGTTCTATTCCGCACCCATGGGGTCTCCATGAGTCAGAATTGACTCAACAGCAATTAACAACAACAACAACACATCTTATTGATAAATATAACCTTCCCCTTTTTCTTGTGTGTGTGTATGTGTAATTTGAGTGAGTTTTGTTCTTTGCAGCCAAGAGATCCCAAGACTAATTTGCATCCATAATTTCACCTAGGATGACCAGTAACATTTTCAAGATGGTGCCGTTGTTTTCAAAGTACAGCTCAGGTTCTGGGACTGGAACCAAGAAGTGGAGCACTGTGACCAGCATCTTAGCATCATGCTCGGATTTATCTGCCGCTGATGCTTTAACACGAACATGTGCTTTTGCTCTGTTTTCATTCTCTGCATCAGGCAAAAAAAGAAAAAAGATTCTATAATTGATATCCTCTCAGAGGAGCGTGACTTTCCATCTGGAATGGATTTTCAAAGTCTTACTGGGAGCCCACAAGGTTGGAAACGCTCCAGGATTCCTCATCACACCACTGGGGAGCGCCTTTTCTCTCTTCTCTGAAAGGTGCAAGTTTGACCTTTTCACTGGTCACCAAGGTTGCCATATTCAGCCGCTCGCTACTGAGACACAGAGGACTTGGAGGAGGAGCAGCCCCCAGAGTCCTATTTGAGAAACGCCAAATGGCTCTCCAGGACCCAGCTGGTACTGCTCTCTTGCACAGTGTGCCTGGAAAGTGCACAGCTATTTTTGTTGAGTTATAATATTATTACTCACATAAAATTCTGATAATAAAATAATAATAATGAGGAGGCCCTCGGGGAGGGCAGAAAAATCCCATACCTGCCGGTTGTTTGACTGAGAAAGTCAAAACCCTTGTACTTCAGTTTCCTTGTCTGTAAGATGGAAATAAGAATAAAACCTACTTCATAGGGATGTTATGAGGGTTATAAGAGTTAATATTTATAAAGACCCTTAGACAGTGCCTGGCACAGAGTATGGGCCCTGTGTTTATTTTTAAAAAAAAACTAAAAAAAAGAAGAAAGGAAAGAAACTTTGCCTTGCCCTCACCCCCCCACACACACACCCACAGACACACACACCCACACACCCACACCCACACACACACACTATTCTAGGAAATGGCTCAGAGCAGGAAGACTTTGAAAGCTGGACATAACGAACGTCGTTTACTCTCACCCCCCTCCTCCCGTTTTTCTTTTGTCAAATCATTGAGTCTGAATGCCTCTGATAAACACTTCTGCCTCCTGTTAAAATGGTGCTAGACAGAAAAGCTTGGGGCCTTCCCATATGCGTTGTGTAAACTCTTGGATTTAGAATGTCCAAGGTTTGGCAAGTGGGGAGGGTCAAGGTCTTGGTCTCTTTGGAACACCACAGGGCGAAGTAACACTTCACCACACCAGGGGTGATGAGCTCTCTCCTGCAAGCTTTCCATAACACATGTATGTGAGGCTTACAGTGTTGGGCTGGGAAGAAAATGCAAGAGGCGGGAGGGGACTTGGGAATTGACAATAATTTTACAATAAATAAAATGTCTTTGTGAAAGTCTGCCTCAAAAGTTCAGGTATTCTCCCAAGCTGTGGAGAATGACCAATAAAATTGAAAATTCTGTCAGTCTGTTGGTATATTAGATATACATATGTATATATATATATGCATAAATACACACACACAGGTTACATAGGAGCCCTGGTGGCGCAATGGTTAAGCTCTCAGCTGCTAACCACATGGTCGGCAGTTTGAACTCACCAGCCACTCTGGAGGAGAAAAGACCTGGTGATTATAGCCTAGGAAACCCTCTAGGGAAGTTCTACTCTGTCCTATAGGGTTTCTACGAGTGGGAATAGACTCGGGGGCAAACAACAGTAACGTATACGTCATTTAGACTTAGGTATACAGGAGCTGGCCACAGGGAGGTGTGGGGCCTTACCAACAGCCACTTTTAGATCATAATCTCAGAGTTGTTGGTTAAAGTATGGCCAGAGATTACAAGGATAATGGGTTTTACCTTTTTTAAAGTCGTATATATTTAGATATTTGCATCAGAAGCAATCTTTACTCAAACTCAACCTGTCAGGTCCTCTCTCCTGGGAACTAGAATTGGGGTTTCTGAGATGCCATTGAGTGTCTGTTGGACTTTTACAGAAAGAACTGGAGCCAAGTCGGCAAGGGGGACATTGTGTTAGGATCTTATGCCTGAAAGCATTACATACAGTAACATACAGTAAAATTCACCCTTTTTAGTGGGCAGTTCTAAGCGTTTGACAAATGCATGGTCCTAAAACCTGCCACAACAAGATTTAGAACGTTTCCATCCTCCCCAAAAGTTCCCTTATGTCCATACGGGGACCACGGCACTCCCCACTCACAGCCTTGGCGACCATGGACCTGTTTTTCTCCCCTGTGGTTTTGCCTTTTACGGAGAGTCAGTCAGACTTCTCTGATCTTTGAACCCAGGTCAGGTGACAAGCTCTGTTAGGATTCCGTAGCCTTCGTTACAATGATAATTATGTATGCAACTGACGAATAAGTCATTCAATGTCCATCTGTTCTGCTATACTGTAAGGTCTGCAGGGGCAGGGACTGTCCAGCTGGTTTGGTTTCTCACTGTATTCTGGAAGTGTCCTTCATAAAACAGATGCTCAACAAATATCATTAGTAAATGAATAACTAACTGACTGAATGACTCCAAGAAAAGTGCTGTAAGTCACTATTGATGGAGCAAAAGCAATCTGATATATTCAGTGGTATCAGATCTGCCATAACATAAAGCACTCAGAGACCGTATTATTCAAACATTCCTGAAAAGGATGAGGACATTTTGGACTGCTATTGACTTTGATTATTAGAAATCAGAACCATTCCAGGCAATCCTAGATACTCGATCAGTGTAGTCGTCCCTTGGTATCCGTGGGGGATTGGTTCCAGGACCCCCTGCGGATGCCAAAATTGACGGATGCTCAAGGCCCTTATATAAAATGGTGTATATTTGCATATAACCTACACACATCCTCCTGTACACTTTAAATCATCGCTAGATCACTTACAATACCGAGTACAGTGTAAATGCTATGTAAATTGTTGTTACACTGTATTGTTTAGGGAATAATGACAAGACATGAGGCAAGCAATGCTCAAACAGCAAGTGCTGGAGAGACACTGAGGAGCCGTGGGATGGGGGCGGCTACAGCCGGGGATGCCTACACGCCGCGTCATTCGCCGGGATTCAGTGCAGTGCTCAGAGCACAGCAAATTCAAGTTTTGCTTTTTGGAAACTTTTTTTCTGAGTACTGTCTTTCCATGTTTGGTTGAATCCACTGATGTGGAACCTTTGGATACCGAGGGGCCGACTGTATTCAATTAATTAAAAGTAAGATAGAAACTCATTTAATTGCTTGACTCTGGCTTTGCCTTATTTTATCTAACTACATTTTAAAAACTGTTTATTTTGTGATTTTTACGCTCCATACATCTTGCAGCAGATCTGACATTACGGTGATACTTAGGAGCAAGATCATGAAATCCTCAAAATCCAGCTTATTTCCTGTGTGTTCTTCGAGTTCAGAAAGGAGCTCTCTGTATTCTGGTTTGGTTTCTTGTCCCTGTGAGAATAAAGAACAAGCAAAAACTTAATTCATTGTGATGTTTTGAGTTTGCAGGTCATAAGCAGTAATGAACATATTAGTAGCAACAACCTGTCAAGTTGCTACCAGCGCTTTCAGCTAAGCATTGTGTTAAACATTTTTATGACTCATCTCATTTCATCCTCACAGTAACCTTATTGGCTATGTACTGTTGTTATCCCCGTTTTATGATGCATTATCAGAGATTCAGAGCCCTGGTGGCACAGCGGTTATGAGTTCAGGCTGCTAATCAAAAGGTCAGCAGTTCAAATCCACCAGAGGCTCCTTGGAAACCCTATGGGGGAAGTTCTACTCTGTCCTGCAGGGTCACTACGAGTCAGAATTGACTCGACGGCAACAGTATCAGAGATTCAGTGAGAATCAAGGAACTTGCCCTAAGTTAGGGAGCTATTGGTAGAGGCTGGATTCTTTTCCTCCTCTACCTGATCCTAGAGCCTATGCTCTTACTTACTAAGCTATCTGCCCATCCATGAACATAGATATGGTTATGTTTTCAGGTTTTCAAAATCAAATCCCCTAATAAGGAGCCCTGGTGGCACAGTGGAGCCCTTGTCTACTAACCAAAATGTTGGCGGCATGAACCTACCCAGTGGCTCCACGGGAGAAAGACCTGGCAATCTGCTCCTGTAGAGATTACAGCCTAGGAAACCCTATAGTGCACTTCTACTTTGTCACATGGGGTCGCTATGAGTCAGAACCAACTCGATGGCACCCAGCAACAACAACAATGCCTTTATTATGGGAGGTGTCCACTTTGTGTTCACCTGAACAGTAAGATCATCCAGAAACGCAGAATAAAAGCTGCCAAAAGAAAATAAGAGCTTGGGAAGATTGTTTAGCATTTAGTTTGATCATAAATCAAACGCAAGTTCATAGTCCTCATAAACATTCCGATTGAAGGAAAAATTGATCAGTATATTTAATTAGTCTTTGTGGCGCATTGGTTAAGAGCTCGGCTGCTAACCAGTAGGTCAGGAGTTCAAATTCACCAGCTGTTCCTTGGAAATCCTATGGGGCAGTTCTACTCCGTCCTGTAGGGTCACTATGAGTCAGAATCTACTCAGTGGCAGTGTTTTTTTTTTTTTTAATTTAATTAATTAAAAGTCAGATAGAAATTCTTTAATTGTACATAAGTTGAGAAGCTTTTCAGTTTCAAACCACCCCAGTGACACTAAAAACCTCAAGGTCATTTGATTCACTATTGTACTGAGCTAGATTTACATTTAGTTCAGCCGAAACTGCTCACCCATGTGCCAGCTGTCAGATATCATCACAGCTACGACCAGGGCACTTGGCAATAGTGACGCATTCCACTTATAGGCTTCTACCCATTCATGTTTCTCTAGGCTGCTTCTCCTCAAGAGATCACCGTTAGAGAGAAGAAGAAGGGAGCCCTCTCCCCAGACTCCAAGAGAGCCGGGCACTCTTCCTTGAAAGGGTCAGATTCCAAGACAATGATTGGACTACCTTACTAGTGGAACGGGCCACTGTTGGCTCAAAGGTTTGAGATGAATGTAGTTCTTTCTTCTTCCATTTTTCTGCGTATTGTAAGAGAAGGGAGCTGACCCAGTTCCAGTCCTCTTGGGGCATGATCAGTCACCATGCTTTGTATCTTTTCATCAGTGCCTTTAGGTGCTCCTTTTTATTATATTTAAATGGCTATACCTGTTGTTGTCTAGTCAATTCGACCCATAGCGGCCCTACAGGACAGAGTAGAACTGTCCCATAGGATTTCCGAGGAGCGGCTGGTGGATATGAACTGCTGACCTTTTGGTTAGCAGCTGTATCACTTAACCACTGGGCCATGAGGTCGCCAAAAAAAAAGAAAAAAAAATTGGCTAACCAAGTGTGTCAGAGTAGAACTGTGCTCTATAGGATTTTCATTGGCTGATTTTTCAGAAGTACATCACCAGACCTTACTTCTGAGGTGCGTTTTGGTAGACTCGAACTTCCAACCTTTCGTTTAGCAACCAAGCGCTTATTAACCATTTGCACAACCCAGGGATTCCACAGGGTGTATGTTTGGACGTTTGGGAAAGGAGTTGTTCCCCATTGAGCTCAGATCTGAGCCGAAGGGCCCAGCTCAGTTTTCCAGAGAACTCTGCGCTGGGGTTTCAGGAGAAAGCCCAGTTAGAGATGAAGTGGGCCTTGCTGTCTTTACCATTGACTCTTGCACACGTATGTGCCTTGGGGAATCTCACAGAAGGGGTGGCTGGCCCCAGGCAGCATTCAGAAGTTACATGTTTGCTGAGCGAAGGTCAACTATCGCCATTGGTGCTGAGAACGCCTCAGGATGAACTGTCCCCTTGAGTGTCTAAAATATGGTTCCCCCTGCGGGTGCCTCTCTTCTCAAGCAGAGCAGCATTACACAGAGACCTGGGTGCGTCTGCTGCTAGGAAGATCCAGAGATTCCCTGCCTTTCTTGGCTTTAGCGTGCACTCAGGGGTCCACGGCTGAAGATGTCTTTCCTAACGCATTTGGTTTTCAATATTCTTCCTCTCACGTCCTCAGAGGGGTGATAAATGAAATCAAGCTGATTCTTCCACTGGGTCCTTGTTTTCATACTTGTTAAGCGCTCCCCAAGGATTTGCCAGGCCACCCGGTGAGGCCTGGAGCGGCAAACGTTACAGGTGAGGCCTCTGATGCCAGATACGCATTGTGGAGAGTTTGTTCACCTTCCCTTTCTTTGTAGGTTCCCCAAAGCTTTTTATCTCACATCAAATTCTGCCTGATAGTTCTGCCTGAAAAAAATATAGCTTTTCTTAAAAAAAATTTTTAAAATGCTACCTGTTTAATATGGAGAATTTAGAAAATATCATTTTAAAAAGTAGAATGTAAAAATAGCCCCATCACCCAAAGATAGCCAACTTCTGCTAACATTTCTTTCCAGTAATTTTTCTACGCATCACACTGTATCACGCTGTGTCACATTGTAGCACACACACACACACACACACACACACATTTTTGAAATAATTACACACTCATGGAAGCCGTATTCTTCACCCAGCTTCCCTGGTGGGTGACATCTATTTAACTGTAGTATATTTAAAACGTATATATGTACTTTTAAAAATGGAATTTCGTAGTTTTCTTTTTAGTATCTTGGAACACACATAGAAGGGTGGTGACAGCCTTCTTTTAAGTTTTTTCTCACTCTACCTGCCAATAAATATTGGTGATTGAGGCTCTGCATGAGGCTACCTTTTCTTCTTACACATTTTCCCTAGGTCAGTATTTCCCAAAGTATGAATGCAACCTGCTGGTAGAAAGTAACGCAGTTTTTTAATACAAGAATAGACACTAAAAAAAGAATTTATAGTCATCTAGCTTTTTTTCTCTCATCTCTCAATGTTACCTACTGAATTTACGTTTAAAATGGTGCTGAAGTATCCTTAAAAAATAAATTCATGTCAGTTCAGAGTCAACAAAAAAATTCTAAGTAATGATAGGCTTATGGGAAAAATATTGAAGATGGTATTCTAATGACGGAAATTTGAGAAATCTACCCCTCAGCGATTTAGGGCACCCCCTTCAGGCCAGTAACTAACTACACGCTGTTAACTCTCCGTTTTGTATTGGGAACACAGATCTCTATTCTGACCTCTCAGCTCCTACATCCTGTTGCTGTCTGAGTATCTCCACTTGCATGTCTCACCGACATCTTAAAATCGACACAGCCTAACAGAAGGCATCCTCTCCTGCTCACTGCCCTCCACCTCACCCTGTATCTGCTTATTCTCCGGCAGTGGAACCACCAGCCATTCTCATTCTTTGCTCCCTTCTATCCTTCAGCCCTCACTAGCCAATCAATGATCAGATTCTGTTCTTCCTAACTTCCAAAGGTCTCTCGTATTTGTCTGTTTCTCTCCATTTTCATCACCCTACTTGAAGCCATCACCATCTTTTGTTTGGATCACTCCCTCCTAGTTACTCCCTTCTTCTCTGGCCCACCGTCTGCTCTAGTCTGTTGTCCACACTACAACTGGTGTTATCTGTTAGTGCTGGACTTAGGAACAATTCCTGGCTTCCTCCTGCCTTCAGGCTATGCCTCTGTAAGATTTGGTGTCCGCTCACCTCCCCAGCCTCATCTCCCACCAATTCCCATTTCCCTTTCCTTCTTGCCAACACTGACCTTCCAGATCCTTGACCTGCCTCCTGGCCTTTGCACCTGCCATTCCCTCCACTTGAGCTGCCATTGCTCTCACCCCCCTGCTACCTCCTGCTCATTCTTCAGATCTCAGCTTATAATTTAAATTTCCAGGAGCCCTTCTTTGATCACTGCCCAGGAGAGTCCCTCGGGTCTACTGTCTCACAGCTCTTTGAATGTTTCTAATGAGTTTTCAGCATATCTGTGTACTCTGTGGGATTGCTAGATGTTCACTGTGCTGGCCCCAGGGCCCAGCTCACTGCCTATGTTAGGTGCTCACTGAGCATCTGCAAAACAGTGTGAAGGTGACCTTGAGCTGATGTCATTGGCTCTGCAGGCCAGCCAGCGTGGGCTCACCCCTCTTTCTTCATGCCCATTACCCTTCTCACCTCTGTGAAAGCCCCAAATTGGGTATGCAGCAGACTTCTGGCAGTAGCTTTTCCAAGTTTGCCATCAGGGTCACAAGCGTTTCTGAAAGTCAGAGCGAAGGTGGCCATGGCTTTTTCCAGATCTGAGCCCTTCTGCAGAGCTAGAGAGAAGAAATGGGCAGAGATGCCGCCTAGGTTAGAAATAACCCTTCCCTGGACTTGGGGCTGTATCTTCCAAGAGTATTGTGGGGAACTGGGTTGGAGGGTTTCAACATGACCTTGTGCTTGGGCTCTTTTGTCCCTCATCTGGGAGGGACATGGGGGTGTCTGAGCCTGGCTCTTTAAACAGTGGAGAACAAAATTTTCTTTAGAAGCAATTACAGTGAGTGGAACTAAGGTGGGTCACCTCCTTGCCTTGTGACCTTGGAAAGACACCTCCCCTGTCTAAGCCTTGGTTTTCTGATGAGTAGCATATGTGGTCTACACAATTTTCTCCCAGTTTGTGCATTGTCTTTTCGTTCTCTTACCGGGGTTTTTCACAGTGGAAAAAATTTTAATTTTGATAATGTCCACTGTATCAATTTTTCCTGTTATGGAAGATTTTCTTCTAAATTTTTTATATTTCTATATTTTACATTCAACTATGTTACTCATTTTGGGTCAATTTTTGTATAAGGTGTGAGACTTAAGTTGAGGTTAGTTTTTTATTTTGTGGATCACCAATTGCTCCAGTACTGTTTGTTGAAAAAGCCATCCTTCCTCCATTGAATTGCTTATCAACCTTTGTCAAAATTCAGCTGTGCATATTTGTGTAGGTCTTTTTCTGGGTTCTGTAGTCTGTTCCACTGATCTATACGTCTATCCCTCTACCAATACCACATTTTCTTTTTCAGTAATATTTTATTGTGTTTTTGGTGAAAGTTTACACGGTAAATTAAGTTCCCATTTGATAATTTCTATACAAATTGTTTGGTGCCCTGGTGGCGCTTTGGTTAAGTGTTCGGCTGCTAACTGAAAGATTTGCAGTTTGAATCCACCAGCAACTCCTTGGAAACCCTATGGGGCAGTTCTACTCTGTCCTGTAGGGTCGCTATGAGTCAGAATTGACTCAGCGGCAATGAGTGTGCAACTTGTTCAGTGCCAGTTACGTTTTTAACAAGTGTCAACGTTCTCTTTGTGTTCTGGGTGTTCCATTTCCAGCACTCTGGTTCCCCTGGCCCCATATCTTCTCACCTTCGCTTTAGAGTAATTGTTGACCTTTTGGTCTCTTACTGATGGTTTTTTAGTACAGCACAGAAGTTACAGGTAATAGTGTTTATTTTGTGTGTCAATCTGTTATTGGGTTAAAAGGTGACCTCGGGATCGTTTTGGTTCAAGGTTTAAAGATTGTCTGGGGGTGAAGTCTCAGGGAGTCCTCTGGTCTCAATTGGTCCAGTTAGTCTGGACTTCTTTAAGAATTTGAGTTTTATTCTACATTTTTCTCCATTCTATCTGGAACCATGTACAGTCAGCCCTTCGTATCCATGAGTTCCACATCCATGGATTCAACTAATCACAAATCAAAAATATGTGGAAAAAAGAAAACAGAAAGTTCCAAAAAAGCAAAACTTGAATTTGCTGCACACCAAACACTATGCTGAATCCACACAAAGGAAATGATGTGTCAGCACACCCTGCTGTAGCCTCCCGTCATCTCACAGATCCTCAGTCTCTCTCCAGCACTCGTCGTCGGAGCGTCGTTTGCCTCACGTCTTGTTATTGTTCCCTAAGCAATACAGTATATCGACTATTCACATAGCATTTACTTTGTATTAGGTATTATAAGTAATCTAGAGATGATCTGAAGCTCTGGTTGCTATCCAAAGGTCAGAGTTAAGGACCTGAGTTCAGGGACTTGTTATAGATTGAATTGTGTCCCCTAAAATATGTGTGGAGAGCCCTGATGGTACAGTGGTTAAAGCGCTCAGCAGCTAATTGAAAGATCAGCAGTTCAAACCCACCAGCAACTCTGGGTACAAGGTGTGGCAGTTTTCTTTGTAAAGATTTACAGCCTTGGAAACCCTATGGGGCAGTTCTACTCTGTCCTATAGGGTTGCTATGAGTCGGAATTGACTTGATGGCAACGAGTTTGGTTTGATTTTGGTACAGTGGTTATAATCCCATTTGGGAATGAGTTTTCTTTGTTATGTTAATGAGGCAGTATTAGCATAGGGTGTGTTTCAAGTCAGTCTCTGTAGTTACAGAAAAGAGCAGATTAAGCAAGCAGAGACGGAGGAAGGCAGACGTCATGTCACATGAAGATCACCAAGGAACCTAGGCCTGGAAGCTGAAAAGAGACAAGGACCTTCCCCCAGAGCCGGCAGAGAGAGAAAGACTTCCCCTAAAGCTAGGGCCCTGAATTGGGACTGTTAGCTTCCTAAACTGTAAGAAAACACATTTCTGTTTGTTAAAGCCACCCACTTGTGGTATTTGTGTTATAGCAGCACTAGGTAACTAAGACAGGACTGAAGAATAAACTCTGTTGATAATAGTTCTACCTCTAAGAAGCAAATTGCTTGGAGAAAACAATATTAATTCCTTATTGTTGTTGTTGTTAACTAACATAGAGTTGATCTATCCACTCATGGTGACCCCATACACAATGGGATCAGACCATCGTGATCCGTAGGGTTTTCATCTTTGGGAGTTGATCGCCAGGACTTTCTTCCTAGTCTGTCTTAGTCTAGAAGCTCCACTGAAACCTGTTCAACATTATAACAGCATGCAATCCTCCACTGACAGCTGAGTGGTGGCTGCACTTGAGGTACGTTGGCCAGGGGTTGAACCCAGGTCTACCACATGAAAGGTGAGCATTCTACCACCAAACCACCACTTTCCCATTAATTCCTGAGGAGGTAAATATTTCTTTGTAATTTGGACCAGTTAATTTAATAATTGTTGCTGTTGTTGTTAGGTGACGTCATGTCGGTTCCCACTCACAGCTACCCTACTTACAACAGAACTAAACGCTACCCAGTCCTGGGCCATCCTCACAATTGTGGTTATGCTTTAGCCCATTGTTGCAGCCACTGTGTCAATCCATCTCATTGAGGGTCTTCCTCTTTTTAGCTGACCCTCTACTTTACCAAGCATGATGTCCTTCTCCAGGGACATTAGTCAAGATAATTAGGTAGAGTCTTAATCTGAGCTGCTCTACTGGGTCTGAGATTGTTCATGAAGGACAGTAGCCACGTGCTCTCCTGGTCCAAGTCTGAGATTGTTCATGGAGGACAGCAACCACTTGCTCTCTTGGTCTCCTGGGCCTGAGATTGTTCCTGGAGGACAGCAGCCACTTGCTCTTCTGGTCTAGTCTGAGATTGTTCATGGAGGACAGTAGCCACTTGCTCTCCTGGTCTCCTGGGTCTGAGATTGTTCATGGAGGACAGTAGCCACTTA